TGACTATTGTTGCAGAACCGACGGTGACAAATTTAAGCCTATCCCCCTCCCCCTAATCAGCCCGTTTTACCTTAAGGCTTTCAACTCGTCAGAGTGCCAGCGCGTGCAAGGCGCCATTGCCACAGAGGAGTACATTCGATATGACAATGAAGATACGAATAACCAAGATGCGCATAATGGGAGTTATCCCTACGGAGGAGGAGGTCGCAATCACAAAATTGCTCATTGTTATTATGAAAGTAAGTATCTGAGCAACTGTCCAGCTACCCCTCCCCTAACCCATCAGCAGTCAACTGATAACAAGTTACGGTTTGAGTTGGATTAGGGATGGGAGGTAGTGGGGATCATCATTCATAGCGAATGGGAAAAATCCTAAGGGTTTGTAACCTCCATACAGAGCACACCGGGGATCTGAGATCGTAGGTAAGGCAAGTGGTGCTCACACTTCCGATCATTTCATATTTTTATATGTACTCTTAGGTTGCCTCTACACGTTTAGCTTGGATAACGATGAGCAGATGCAATTCACCTCTCCAAAATTCTTCGACAACGGATTTCTGTCGGACCAGAAGTGCAGGTGGCGATTTGTTGCTCCAGGGAAGGACAGTAGGGTACAAATCACCTTTCTGGAAACACGTATGGCAGAAGGCGACAGTATTGTTATCAGTAATGACTGGAGCAGTGGATCAACCGTGGGTACAATAGATAAAAAACGCCTCGTTAATCGAAACAGATATTTGTCCCACAACAATTTTCTTTTAGTAGAGTTTTATTCAAAGTTTCCCATAACACAAGGGAATCATCATTCCAAAGGTTTCCGCGGAATGTTCAAAATTATTTCAAGTAAAGGTAAGAATTACTTTTAGAAGATAACTATATTATTACTTTGGAGGTAAATAAAGGAGACCGAAAAAAAATTAATAAGGTGATTATTGCGCATCCTGTGCTGTGCATAAAAATCACGTCATCAGGCGAATTAGCGCGCGCATTCCGAGAACACAATTTTTTTTTTCAATTGATGAACCAGGTAAAGAGGTAGGATGTTTTTAACTATTGAACGAGCACTATGACCTATATTTTTTATTGCATAATTCTTGTGTACAAACTATCCCCTTTAAATTGGAGAAATTAAAAAAGTCATCGAAGGGAAAAGAAGGTACAGCTAAAAGTGTGCACGAAACCCGTTGGTCGATGATGCAAATTACGACCTTGAAAGCAACGACTCGAGGAACGTTTTGAGTCGATTTTATCACAAACTAAGATATTTCGGATCAATAGTATTATCTGATAACTGCACACTCACCCCTCCCTCAGCCTAACAACTCTCAACTGATAACAAGTTAGGGTTAATGTTAAGCTAGCAGAGGAGTGGGTGTGCAGTTCCTCAGATNGGCTCCCCCGCCCCAGGACCGGCTGTCCTCCAAGTTCAGACGATATCTGGTGGGAGACTGGCTGGAGGTTTCATGACACGGAAGACAGCAATCCAAATAACTATGTATCCAAGAGCTTCCACATGAATGCTAAAGTCTAAGAAAATGACATCAATGAAAGCTTTTGCATTGCTACGCAGGATAAGGGGAAAGAATGGCCAAGAGGTGAAGATAGTATATAAAGCGGAGTCTAGCAGAGAGTAGCGGAAATTAGATTAGCTAAAATAGTTCGAGAGACGAGAGACTAGGGATATCTAAATTAGAATTACAGTGATACACTGACGCTAGTATGCGCCCAGGGATGGGATGCAGTCCTACCTTACTTAATAGCCGCATTAACAAACATATCATACTGCAAGGTACCAATACATTTTTCGAAGTCAACAGTAATGGTAGTATCTTACACCTGGGTGTATTTGATCCCACTGATTGAAGTTAGTTATTTTTTTTTTGCAGGTCAGTATTGCATTTACAAAAAGGGAGCTTGTCCTAAAGGTCTCTCTGAGGGATATATCTTCTTTGATGACGAAAACCACAAAAACCAGAACAAGATGGGAGGGACACTTCCAGACGGTAAATACAATAAAGATACAAATATATCGTACTGCTGTCGGACGGATGGTGACAAATTGAAGCCTATCACCCTCCCTGTGAATAATCCCTTTTACTTGCTGGCCTACAACACAGCTGAGTGTCAGCAGGTTAATGGAGCCATTGCTACAAAGGAGTTTATACGATATGATACTGAAGACAGTGAGAACAAAGACGAGATGAATGGTTCTTACCCTTGTGTGAAAGGGAGGAAGAAATTGACGATTACTTACTGTTATTATCAAGGTCTGTATCTATAGGAAGTAGTATGTAAAAGTTATGGTAGAAGCTTCAACAGAGCTTCGTCTGCCGCTCCGTTTCAGGGTTCCAGTCAGGCTTTCGCGGTTATCACTGCAGCCATGGGGCTTATTATAGCGGCCATGGGGTTTATCATAGCGGCCATAGGGTTTATGAAGGTCCCCACCGTAGGTCGCCCTGACTGGCTATCCCCTTCTTTAGGACGTTGACCGGGGCACGACGGGAACATATAGTTGGTCTTTGTTCCCCGAAGTTGATGTCCTATGCTTCCCACCAGGAGGAAAGACGGCCTAATCTCTTAAACATTAATTAACGACTCATGCATAAGACCTGTTTGATACCACAAAATATAACGTTACAAGAGATTATAAAGTAAATGTCTTGAACGATATCATTACCCAACACAAGAATACTGAGGGGACTTGTGTGAACGCAGATTGTACATCTGTTTCCCTTTTCAAACAGCCTGTCACTACACCATGAGCGAGAGGCCTCAGGAGTTCATGTCACCATTTTACCGCAGTGATGGTGGCTACCCGAACTCACAGCT